TCCCCCCACTCTATTACCTAGAGCCAAGAGCAAATATTGTATCATTTCTTTTATGTGAACATAATTCAGAGGGCCATTTTAGTAATGCCTTCATATTACCAGATAATCAGTCTGTGTTCAAATTTTCCAGATGTAAAGAGTACTGTGAAATTTATTCTAAATTTGGTTTCAAGAGAATTGGTAAGTGATGTGGAAGTGTCAGAAACCTTGAGCCAAAAGGACCCTGATATTTTAGAGTTTGCCACAGAAGACAAACAAATAAGATGAATCCAAAATGAGGAAACCAGATTTCAGAAAGATAGTTCCACCTTAAACTGTATCTTCCAAGGGGATAATACTAGTCACGTGCAAGTATTTACATTTTATTACAATTCAGCAAGATTTGAAATTCCATCCCTCAGTAACCACATGTAGCTACTAGTTATTGTACTGGATCACATAGATATTGGACATTTCCATCATCCCAGAAAGTTCCATAGGCCACAGCTGCTTATCGAATTTAAGAAGGAATTGCATTTGCAAAGGACAAGATATTCGTAAACAAATAAAAACCAATGAAAAACTTGCATTTATAATTGTGAAAGGTCCTAAAGAGTAGGATACAGATTCCAATCCCTGAAGGTAGAACACACAGCTCACTCTCATGCTTATTTATTTAACCACTTTAATTGAACAGTCTCCACTTCACCATGTGCCAACAAGAAGTTTGCTTTATTTTTGTAACTCACTTCCTTTTCGCTAAAAACCCTCAGCCATGGAAAAACTGAAGTTAGCCCAATCTTATAAATATCAGCCCTGTCCAGTCACTTCCAGTTTAAAATAGTTTTCTTGGGGGTAAACATTTCATAACAATCAAATATTTTTATCCTCCATCACCCTTTAGTTCAAGGCCCCCCGGCTCTGAGCTTGGGCATCAGAGGACAGCTCTGTTCTTTGGTGTCCCTTCTCCTGATTCACAGCCACTCATGCCTGCTCTGAGAGTCCCCTCGTGGGACAGAAAGAAGGAAAGACTTTTCCCTTCTCTGCCAGGCCATGGGCCTCTCCCTGACCAGGTCCTCTGTGTCATCAGGTCATAGTGCACTTGGTTGGCTCTTCCTAGTTGTCCCAGATAGCATTGTGCTGTGATGTCAAGCTTGATATAGGTGTTGACCCAGGTGTCGTGTCTTGTCTCCCAGGTTCTAGGCCAGGTGGAACTTCAATGGCTGGCAGACAACTTTTCAGAGCCTCAACTACCCCAACCTCCAGCCCCCTTTCCTGCCCCACTGGCATGGGTTTGCTGAGCCAGCCCACCTCTGTCTATGATGCTAGCTCCTCTTCTGTGCTCAGGTGTGCCACAGTTGCTTCAGGGAGCTGCTGGTGCTGTGTGATTCAAACAAAAAAGAGGCTCCAGGCCCAGGTTCTGGCATCACTTTTTAACTTCAAAGGTATTTCCCTAGGGGTCCTCCAGTTTTGATGGATAGGTGAAGATTCCCCATCTTGTAAGGGGTGGGGGGATAGTTGAAAATATACTTACTTCATAAGGAACTCTGCTGCCTCTCAAAGAAGACCCCCTCATCTCTTTTTGCTCCCCACCTCTGTTTTCTTTCATCTTTTGAGAACTAAAATCCATTAATATGTTTAGATGCGTGTATCGATTGTCTTTTTTATGTTTTTATTTATTTATTTATTTTTTTGTAGTGCTGAATATTGAACTCAGGTCCTTATGCATGATAGGCAAATGCTCTACCACTTTGCTACACCCCAACCCTGGTTGTCTACATGAGGCAGATCAAATTACCCCAAGATTTAGCAGCTTAAAATAAACACTGATTATCTTTCACCGTTTTGGAGGATCTGGAATCCAGAATGGTCTCCCGGGGTGGTTCTGGCTGAAGGTCTGATGGGTCACAGTATCTCAGCTGGGGGCTGTGTTACCTGGGGCTGGAGGTCCACTTCCAAGATGGAGCCTTCACACAACTGCTGGCTGGAAGCTTTACTTCCTGGCCACATGACCTCTCCCTAGAGCTGCTCATAGGCTCATGAAATGGCAGCTGGTTTCCCCCAGAGCAGCTGATCTGAAAGACAGAACAATGAAAATGAAAGACTCAGAAAGTGACATGCCCTGATATAATGTGGAAGAGAATCGCACAAGGGCAGGAAGAATAGGAGATACCAACTAAGTCTATGACTGCCATACGAGAGGTGCGTGGACTATAAAAATCTAACCTGCGAAAGGGGATCCTATTGAGTAGAGACTTTTGGAATTTAGCCAACCCATTTTCTCTGGGCATGAGCATCTCCAGGGAAGACCTAGAAAGAGCCTTAGTCTTTGCAGCAAATTACTCTTTGTTATTATATTTATAAAATGACCTTTTCCCTGGGCATGGTGGCACACACTTATAATCCTAGCTAGTCAGGAGGCTGAGGCAGGAGGATCATGGGTTTGAGGTCAGCCCAGGCAACTTACCGAGATCTAGTCTCAAAATTAAATAAATAAATAAATAAAAAGGACTTGGGATGTAACCCAGTGGTACAGTGCTTGCCTAGCATGCATGAGGCCCTGGGCTTGATTCCCAGCACTGTGACATATAATTAATTAATTAAAACAGACAAAATAATCTTTATTACATAAGCATAAGGTATAAAGTACCACCATTAGTTTAAGCAAACAGTCCCAGTGTCTTAGAAGCTGCCTCCTCCTCTCTGGTAACCGCACTTGGTGGATTTTGTGATTATTATTCCTTTGAATTTCTTTATACTGTTTCAATAAATGAATTACCTACAGAACTTATTCAACACATTACCTAGTTGGGGAAATTTCCTTTACATAAGTGAAATCGAGCTGCATATTCTCTCCTGTGATTGTCCCCCACCCCAATTATGTTTGTGAACTCCATCCTCATTCTGGGTATAGCCACAATGACTTGCCTTTCGCTCTGACAAAATATGTCACCGTGGGAGTGCCCTACCTGTCATGCATTCTTCCCACGGACTTTGGGAAACTTCTGGGTTCTTGAAATGGTGCTACAAACGATGCTACTGTGAACATCCTGGGTGATGTCATCCAGAGTGCACCTGCTAGTGGTCATTCCTAAACTTGATTGCACACTGGAATCACTTGGGGCTCTTTAAAAACTATTGATGTTTCTTTAGAGAATGGCTTATTTCACTTAGCATGATAGTCTCCAGTTCCATCCGTTAGCTAACCCATAACAAGGGAGGGCAGGGAGGCAAAGAATAGAAGTTCACTGGATTAGACAAAGGGGAATGAAGGGAAGGGAGGGGGGATGAGAATAGGAAAGATAGAGAATGAATCAGACATAACTTTCCTATGCTCGTATATGAACACATGACCAGTGTGACTTCATATCACGCACAACCACAAGAATGGGGTCCTAATTGGAATGGGTTGCACCCCATGTTATGTATAATACGTCAAAATACACTCTATTGTCATGTATATTTGAAAAAGAAACTTATGGAGGGGTGATTCATACCCCCCAAGACCTTATGATTTAATTGCTACAGGGTCCAGCCTTGGCATCTGGGTTTAAAAAAGCACGTGATTCTAACATTTAACCAAGTTTGGAGTATCTGACTGGAAATGGAACTGCTGGGGATGGAGGGAATGTGCCTCTGCAGTTGTGATAAATATTGTCAAATGGTTTCTCTTCAGAGATGTGTGAGAATCCTAACTGTTCCAGGTCTTCACCTCTGTGTGGGATCGGCTGATTTTATTTGGGGGGTATCATCAATTCTATCCTCTGGAGAGAGTTAGTTATGAGTTTTAATCTGATTTTGTTTCCTTTCTATTGTTCTTTATCACCCTTTTAATGCTACTTTTATTTATCTCAGTCTGTTGCCTTTCCTCTGCATCTGTTTTCTCCTGATGACTGCATGTTTCAATGGGTCATGTCTTACATCTTCCTATTAATCTGGCAATGGATGGTTGTCAGTGGCTTGCTCCTCCTCTAGGCTGCAATCGTGTGTTTAGTTTTTCCTTGTGTGTGTGTGTGTGTGTATGTGTGTGTGTGTGTGTGATAGACTGCATGTTGGGTAGGTGGCAAATTGCCCGTAGTTGTATAGGGCCAGGCGCTGTCTACAGTCACAGTGAAGCTTGATAAGCGTGGGTCCTGGTCCAACTCCTTGGATAAAACAAATCTCAGGCTTTGGGGAGGGGTCAGATTTGACAGATTCAACATTAAGTCTGCCAGCATTGTGGGGAAAGTTAGATTGTGATGGAGATGATTGAAGTGTCTGAAGATTGACTGCACAGAACAGCTTAGCATAATGTCTTAGCAGATGGCAACCATTTAAAAGGGGTAGCTGCCATCATTATTATTTATTATTGGTCTAGTGCTAATAGATTGTATGTTTGTGTTTATCATCAACCTAGAGGATTATTACTATTCACCCCACTAAAAATGAGCTGTAAGGAACATGGGGAGTTTCATCTAATTTGTTCTTTATCCCAGGCAATTAGAATAGGGCATGATGTGGGGGTGGGGGGGGACACTGAAGAAATACATGTTAAAGAAGAGAATTTTTGAGAATTTAGTTGAGGCTCTAGGAGGAGTTGCTAACCAATTCGAATGTGTCACTTTGAATCAGACTTTGGCAGTTTTATTTACAATAGTGAACAATTTGAGTCAACCTGCATATCAAACATCAGAGCTAAGTTCAATAAATTACAGTACATCATATGCTAGAAGCTATTGTCCCTGTTGCAGATCGTATTGTGGAATATTTTTTTTGACAGGGGCCACCATTGACTTACATTGTGGGAACGAAAAAAGGAGGGGGAGTTATAAAACAGTCTGTACGATATGATCCCAAATATATAAGAAGTGTATGTGTATATAGAAAACAATGAAGGTAGTATAACAAAATATTCATAGTGGTTGTCTCTGGTGGTGGCATTAAAGATGACTTTAAATTTGCTTCTTGGAGCTTGTCTGTATTTTTAAAATAAGTTTACAGTAAACATATATTATTGAAATGAGAAAAAAAAACAATATATATATTTAACAGACATGTACCAAAGATGTATTAAATAGCATAAATCCCAGGAATGCAAAACAACAGTGTAAATCTGGAAGAATAATGTCAGGAAGACTGAAGCGAAGAATAGTTTGGGTGTCAAAGAAAGTCTTAAAAGACAAGGGAATGGGAATATCAGTCAATATTTTTTTTGGTCTTTCCACATTTTTTATTAGTGCATTATACTTATACATAAAGATGGGATTTGTTGTTACATATTCACACATGCATACAATGTAACAATATAATTTGGCCAATATCACTCCCTAGCACTTCCCCTCTCTCTCTCACTCTGCCTCCCATCCCTTGCTCCCTTTCCTCTACTGATCTCGTTGATTTTCATAAGATCTCTGCCCTGCTCCCCTACCTTTCTTTTCCTTTTTCTCTCCACCTATGAGAGAAATATCCAACCCTTGACCTTTTGAACTTGGCTTATTGCACTTAACATAATGGTCTCAAGTTCCATCCATCTTCCGGAAATGACATAATTTCATTTTTTCTTTATGGCTGAACAAAAGTCCATTGTGTGTGTATATACCTCATTTTCTTTATCCATTCATCCACTGATGGACACCTAGGCTGGTTCCATAGTTTGGCTCTTGTGAATTGTGCTGCTATAAACGTGGGAATGCATGGATCACAACAGTAAGATGACTTTAATTCTTTAGGCTACATACTGAGGAGTTTCATAACTGGGTCATGTGGTGGTTCCATGCCTACTCTTTTGAGGAGCCTCCATACTGATTTCAGTAGTGGTTGTACTCATTTGCCATCCCTCTAACATTGTTAAAGCGTTCCTTTTTCTCCACATCCTCTCCAGTATTTATTATTATTTGTATTCTTGATGACTGCCCTTCTGACTGGCATGAAATGAAATCTCAATGTAGTTTAAGTTTGCATTTCCTTACCTGCTAATGATGTTGAACATTTTTTTTTCATATATTTCTTGGCCATTTGTATTTCTTCTTTTTGGAGGTACCTGCTCAGTTTATTTGTCAGTATTTTTAGCTTTAAGCAACAGAAAAAATTCCAGCTGAATTAAAGTGGCAAAGCAATCTATTTGGAGATATAAGGTAAGGCACAGAATTGTCAGTGGGATTGGAGGACCAAAGTGAGCAGCTACCCAGCTAGAATAGCACCCCAAAACTAGCCCAGCTTCCACCACAGACACTGGCTGTAACAGCAACCTGCTGTCCTGGGAAACCTGACCTCATCCCCACCACAATCATCACCAGAGAGGTTGCTCTACTCAAAGTGGAGTCTTCCACCCAGCTGATTAAGCATCATTGGGGAGCATGTAAATTCTCATGTCCCATCCCAAACCTACTGAATCAGGCTCTCTGGGAGTGAAACTCAACATTTTTAAAAAAATAAAATTCCAAGGTGATTCTTATGGGCATTAAAGATAAAAAGCATTGCTTCATAATTGTTAATGATTCTTTGGAATATCAGGTCTCAATTCAAAATGCTCAAGGGAAAGGGAATGTGTCTTGACTGGTAAGCCTTGGTCATATATCCATATCTTTGCTGCAAAAAAAGAGGCTGGGAGAATGTGCATCAATTATGTCTTAGTTTGTTTTCTGTTGCTAAAACCGAATACTAAAACCTGGATAATTTATGAAGAGTAAAGTTTATTCATCTCAGAGTTCTGAAGGGTGGGGAGTTCAAGATCAGGAAACTGAATCTGGTTGGGTCCTTTGTGTTGCTGGGGACTTCTTACAGAGTCCCAAAGTGGCACAGTGCATCATATGACAAAACAAAGCTTCTTAGCTCAGTTCTCTCCTGCAGAGCCACAGTCCTGATGATTTACAGCCTCACTCTCATGGCTTAGTTTAATCTTAATTACCTCCTAGGGTCCCACCTCCAAATGCCATAGTTAGATTAAGTCCTTCCTCTTCTATCTCACAATGGATTAAATTTGAACACGAGTTTTGATGGAATTATTCAAACCATAGCAAGCAGTGATCACCTTCTGTAGAGAGAGGCCAGCTCTGCTGTGTACCAAGGTTTCGGGGGATAAGGAGTTCTCGAGAGAATAGGCTCAGATGCTGATCCACAAAAATGAATGACTAGGGTCTATAACTTATCCTAAAGTTTGGTGCAATTAAAGAAGCAAAAAGGACAAATAATAATAACAATAATAATAATAATAATAATAATAGTAAAAGCAAAAAGGGTCATGGTTAATGAGTCAGAATATAATGACAGTGATGGCAACATGACTTGAATAAGTGGTTTTCTCTGGTCTTTTCCTGAGCCAAGAATAAATCTTCAAGCTGAAAAATGTGTAGCACATTATTTAAAAAGTAGACCACAAAGTGTGTTATATTAAAAAGAATTTTTAAGAGACCTCTTTTTGCAGTGGTGGTGGGGGGGCTATTTTGTTGTTGTTGTTTGGATTTTTTTTTTTTTTTTTTGCAGTACTGAGTTTGCAGCCCATGGTGTCTACCATTGAGCTACATCCCCGGCCCTTTTTACTTTATGTGAGAAAGGTTTGCCTAAATCGATTCAACTATTATTTCTGGAATGACTAAAGAATTTAAAATAGAGGTAAGATTCAAATCATTTAAGGGAAAACATAGGAAAAGAAAATTGTGTACGTGTGTTACTGGGGATTGAACCTAGGGCTTAGTTTATGCTAGGCAAGTGCCCTGTCACTGAGCTACATACCCTAGCCCTTTTTAGCTTTTACTTTGAGACAAGGTCTCACTAAGTTTCCCAGGCTGGCCTGAATCTTGTGCTCTTTCTTCCTGTCTCATTCTCCTGAGTAGTTGGGATGGCAGGCATGCACCACTGTGCCCAGCTGAAGACTGATTTTGTTACTAATGTAGGAAAGATTTTATAAATCACATTCAAAGAGCTTAAACGATAAAGGGAAAAAAAACCCTAGCAACTTTGATTACATTCAATTTTAAGCCTTTATTATATCAAAAACATCATGAATAAGCTAATAAGATAAGCCAATGTTGGGAGAGGATATTTGTGTTCCTTGTAGCTAAAAAAAAAGATGAGTCTAGAATAAATGCTGTAAATTACTTTTTGAAAAACAACCCAATAGATGTCCAAAAATATTGTCTTAGTTATTTGTTTCTGCATAAAAAAATTACCTCAACACTTAGCTTAAAACAAGTAAGATTTATTACCTTACAGCGAGTCAAGAATTTGGCAGTATATTTGCTAGGTTGTTCTAGGGTCTTTCATGAGCTTGCACCCAAAATGTCAAGTCGTTTGTATTTACTTCCAAGTTCACCCATGCAGCTGTTTTTTGGAGGCCTCAGTTTCTTGCTAGATCTTTGAAGGAGACATTAGTAAAATATGGCTTTCGACTTCTCCCAGAATGAGTGATCCAAGAGAAAGAGAATTACCAGGATAGAAAACACAGTATCTTTTATACCCTCATCTCAGAAGGGGTACAACAGCTCTTCTGTCATATTGCATTGGTATCATAAATCAACCCTGGTATAATGAAGGAGACCACACAGAGTGTGACTACCAGGAGGCAGGTGACACTGGGGACCATCTTGAAAACTGGCTCCCATAGCTTTCACAAAATCCATGGAAACAATTCAAAAATAATCAATAAACATGAAAAGTGGCCTACTATCACTAATATTCAGGGAAATACAAATTAAAATCTCAAGTAAGGATTTCATACCCCAAAGTTTGGCAATTGGTGAAACGGACAATACCAAATGCTGACAAAGATGTGGGAAAAAGGAACTCATAGAATTAGTGCTGGCAGAAAGTATACGTTGGAACTAACTGGTGGACTGCCCTGTAGAGCAACTGGGTAATATATACTGAAGATATTCATACTCTATGACCCAGCAATTTTACTATGTGTCTATCTTTCAGAACTCTTGAAATTGTCACAAAGTATTGAACTTAAGGACACCCATAGCAAAAGCTCTTTGTGGAAATAATCTTTCATGAGGTTTTTTTTTTTTTAAAGAAGATTCAAATGAATGTTCAATCTATATGTATCAATATGGGTAAGTCTCAAAAATACAATATTGAGAAAGTCTTAGGATATATATATATAAATACTAATTATGCAACATTTTCAAATGCAAAAATTGGTAATGTAATTATTTTTGGATACATTTGAGTGCACCTTAATTTCAACCTGCAAGGGGAAGGGTCATTCCTTCCTTTGAGGTTAGAAGGGAGATGGGAGCTGTATTAAGATATTCTATTTCTCTTAACCGCCCCCTCAAATCACAAATATGGAAAACGGTTAACATCTGTTTCATTGAGCTATTTTGTATTTGGATATGAGATGATAAGAACAATATTTAATCACCAGCACATCCTAGGTGTACAGATACTGGTTGTAGTGGGAACTAGGTCCAGTGACATCAGCTATTACATTGTTCATTGCCAGACTGTGGGCAATTCCAAGAGTCCCTTAGAAAGACTGGTGGGTATGTAGGTGATTATCACTCGGGTCAAAGACATACCTAGGACATGGCCATGGGACCCAGTTCTTGGCTCTGTTCAGTTCAACAGTGTTCTCTGTAACTTACATGGCAACAGCAAGGTCAAAGGTCAGCTTTACATATGACACAGCCAGAATGGATGTGTAATCTCATTCTTGACTGGATCATAAAGCAATAATACAAATAGGTGGAAATGAAGGACTGGAACCAATTAAATAAAATTAAAGTATCCATTCAGCTGAAAAGAAATTATTATTATAGGAAGGGAGACACCTGGCTTAACAAGATCTTACGGGAAAATTCCGGGAGTCACAGACTTTTTATAATATGTTAATGGAAATGTAAATGGGTTTCCAGAGGGTAATTTGGTGATATATAATTAAAAGATGCATAAGAAAATCCATTTTGATCTGACCATAGCACTTCTAGGTTATTCAGAAATCATCAGATAAGTATATATAGACACAAGCATAGATTCTCAAAGCCATGGTCTTTATGAGAGCAAAAACAAAATATGCAAAAACTGTAAATAACCCAAATGTCCATTCAAAATTATGAATTAGATTACATGAATTGTGCCGCAGTCTGGCTGGGCACGAATAACCGAGCCGCCACAAAGCCTTGTAGGTTCAAACAGCAACTACTTTATTTCAACTCTTACCGGCACTGCACGCGCACTTTTCCGCCAACGCCACCCACGTGACTTTCTCCCAGGACACACCACACACCAACCGGAAATCCCTCCTCCGGCACTTCCCCAACCAATGCGAACTCTTCAGGAATCCCCGAGAGAGCTCAGGCGGAACTCAAAGGGAACTCCGCAAGAACTCACAAGTCATCACCTTAATGGCTCTCTGGCGTCACCTCTCAACCAATACTTCTGGCAAAAATGCCATGCGTCATTCCGACTCGGCTGTGGCCCTCAACAGAATTGGAACACTATACTACCATCAGAAAAGACAATATGTTAAGCATAGAAAACAGTCTGGAAGATTTTACAATAATGTGTTTATAGGAATTATTGCTATTGGGTGCCTTGGAAGAATTTTTTATTTATTTGTGTTTTCTATTATCTACAAAGATTATGTTTGGCTTACATGATTAAGAAACAATGTTTTTAAAAACTGGTTTTAGTTAATAATATATATAATCCAGTAGTGTCAGGTTGATGGTAAAGAAGTGATCATTGGGGCTGGGGATGTGGCTCAAGCGGTAGCGCACTCGCCTGGCATGCGTGCAGCCCAGGTTTGATCCTCAGCACCACATACAAACAAAGATGTTGTGTCCACCCATAACTAAAAATAAATATTAAAAATCTCTCTCTCTCTCTCTCTCTCAAAAAAAAAAAAGAAGTGATCATTTATGAAATTAAGAGAGAGACTAAGAGAAGTAACAGTCGCATTGTACATTTCATAGTCCCTAATGGGGATACCAGGATGTTGATAAATTTGGACACTGTGTTTTACAAGTACCTATTGCTAAACCATGCATATTTATTTAAAAAAAAATAAAAGAAGCAACTAAGAGGAAATATATTGGCTTCAAATGTCTGATTCATTGTTAAATGGAGAATACTATGTGTTGTTCCAGAAAACAGCCCGTGTTTGCCAGTTTTTTTGGTTTTTTTTTTAAATCACTATAACCAAAATACCTGACAAGAACAATTTAGAGAAAGAAAAGTTTAGTCTGGTTCATGATTTCAGAGGTCTCAGTCCATGGTCAACCAACTCCATTATTCTGGGTCCAAGGTCAGGCAGAACATCATGGGGGAAGATATGGTGGAGAAAAGCTGCTCTGTTCATGACACCCAGGAAGCAGAGAGAGAGAGAGTGGGGAGGAGCAAGGACAAAACATATAATCCCCAGGGGCATGTCCCCAGTGATCTACTTCCTCCAGCCATTCCCCACCTGCCTTATAATCACCACCAAGTATAGCAGTCCTTTCATATTATTAATCCATCACCTGGCTTAATCCACTGATGATGTCATAGCTCTCATAATTGAATTATTTCACCTCTGAACATTCCTGCATTGTCACACATGAGCTTTTGGGGATCACCAAAACCAAAACACAGCCCCCAAGATAAAGTGGTGAAAATTCGGTAGAGGCATAGTTCAGTTTACTCTTAAGAAGCAACTTATAATCAACTAGGCATTGTAGCTATTGCCATCATGAGTTAAATTAGATAGGTAAGTCCTTTTATTGTAAACAACAGACTTTATTTAATGTATTTAGGTAAAAAAAAACAGTATTTGAGGATTTGGGGCAGCTCATAGTCATAAACCTAGGGAAATAGGCTTAGAAAATGACAGAAGCAAAAGAAATGTAGGATTTAAGATAAAAGGAGCCACTCAATGGATTGCTGCAGCTCAAATAACACCCGACCTCCCCATTAAAGGACTTGTCATTACTGGACTCAAAATCCAAAGTTTGCAGAAGTTCAAGTTCATCAAGTCTAATGAATCTGGCTGGGTCAAAGGAAGACAGAACAACCTTACTGACAGTCCCCAATGCTGGTGCTAGGGCACTTCCATGAGAAGAAAGAATGAATAAATTTTGGGGACAATGGCAACATACTACATCATTCTATGGGGCCATTTGCTTCGTCACTGAAGACGTTAAGCAGAGGCTGGATGGCCAAACATTGACAACTCTGTGCTTCAGTTGCTATGGAGATTCCCCTATGTTGGATTTCAGGGAGGGAACCTGTGGACCAAATGAGACTAAGTGAGTTCCGTGGTCCCTCAGTAATCTGGTTCACCCAATATGCTATCTCTGAGTCCTATACTTAGAGTGTTTTTCAGAAGCCAGCAGCAAAGTTCATCCAAGAGTATTGTGGATGTGTTCCCTCAAGCCCCTCAATGTCCTCTTTACCGTTTGATGTGGTTCCATTACCCACGAATTAAGCAAGCCTTTCATGAACCCACACATATATTTAAGCTGTACCTTTTCTCAGTGGTTAATTAGGCCTATGGGTTAGGCCCATCAAATTATGAAATCCAAAAGGCCACTGCCATATAAATGAGACATTCTGTTTCTTAGTCCTTCCAAATTCCACTTCTAAGTATTCACAGAATCTAATCATCATGTTTTGGGGTTGGGTAGACAAGTTTCTGTTTGCCCTCAAAACTTTAATATTGAAAAAAAAAAAACCACTTTCCTTGTTCTCTCCGTCCCCAGATTTATAAGCGGTGGAATAACCTTTCATGGGGAATAGTGAGCAATAATTATGGGATGGAAAGAGTCCATGTTTTCTTTACAAAAGAGAGGCTTTCCTTCTACCAGTCATAGCACCATTTAGTTAGAACAAAACTTGGGTGGAAGGGAAGAAGCTGAGAATAATGAGTCTACAAGGAGAATGAACCAATATTAGATTCCCACTGCATGCTGAGCATTAGGCTAGGCACTAGGGTAGTCAGGATCCCAGTTATAAGCAGAGAAAATTACTGAAGTTGATTAAAGCAGGAAAAAAAAACAATTTTAAGGCTACTGGGATAGTTCATAGATTTCTCAGAAACATTAGATAACCGGATCGAGCAAATAATAAACAAGAACAAAATGGTGCCTTCAGTAAAGAATGGCAAAAACCCATGCTACAGAACTGGTTCAGTTGCTCCAACACCATTAAGTGCCAGAGGCCAGGACACTGACCCCTCTGACCTGGACACTGGACACTGGATACTGTGTCTGGCTGGCACTGGGGGCCACTTTGGTCCCTGAAAGCATACATTACTGTGACCCGACACCATCTGATTCCTCTTGTCTTTGCCCCAGTTCCCCTCCCTATTCTTGTTTAAAGTCTAGGATCACGTGCATCTAATTGAACGAGTCTGGGTCATCTGGTCATGCCTCAGCTTACAGAGAGGGGTGAGGACTAGTTAGAATTTTCTACTTCTTTAGAGGAGGACTCCACTTCTCTAATTTGGACAGCCCTAAACCACCCATGTTCTATATTCTCTCTTGACATATTTTATCTAATTCCGTTCTCCTAGCAATCCCATGAATAGGCATTTCTCCCATTTGATAGATGCATAAACTGAGGTTCAGCCAGTTGAAATAACTGGCTTCAGATCAGACAGTGAATGAGGGACTGAACCACATCCAGGACCCCGGATTCCTGTCTTATCATTCCATGATGTTTCTTCTAGGCCAGGCTCTGCTTAGTCCTCGACACAACTACCAGGCATTATTATAACCCATTTTCCAAATGAGAAAATCGAAATTTACCCAAGGGTCTCAGCTCATAAGTGATGAGAGGCAGGTGGTCATATACCACAGTCAGCCCTGCAACCACTATTCTTACTGACTCCAGGGGAAAGAGAGATTGAATGAGTCCTTTTTCTCCTGCTTTCAATCTTCGTCAGGCCGGCCTCGCAGGGGCATGCCAAGTGACCCCCCAGGCACCCATCTCCAGCAAGAGAGTTTCAAATCACCCTGTCACCCAAGATTGGAAGCTTGGAACATTCTCAGCGCCTGGCTTCTCCACATATGGTGAGTTGCCAAGTTCTTGTCCACGTGCCAGATGTGTCTTGAGTTTCTCTTCCTTCTTTATGACCAAAGCTGCATCTCTATACCAGGTTTTATTACTTTTTTGCCAGTAATTTCAATTGCTCTTCAGTCTTTTCAGTCTTTTCAATTGCTTTCCCTGTCTCTAGCTCCCTCCTTGTGCCTAACTGCGACAAATGCCTTTCTCTTATCACAAGGCTATGTGACTTTAATGAGATGTGGTGGCATGGGGGCGAGATGTCTGCTGCGGAATGCTTTGGGCTCTGGCCGGTACCTGGATGTGTTACTGGAACCACCACTTTGCAACGATACAAGGATAAAGCCAATAATATGTACTTGCCGAGGGAAGACAGAAAAAAAATCATGGTGTTTTGAGAAGATAATCATGCTATGCATGTAGCCTGCTTGCCCCGAAGCCTCCAGTTAGGTGAGATAATACATGTCCTTCTTGCTTAAGCCAGTTTTAATTGAGTTTCTGTTATTTGCTGTGGAAAGCATTACCACTGGCAGTCATTTAGCTCAAATACAAATCTAATCACTTTCCTCCTCTGTGGTTTTGCAT